TACAAAATAGTATATTATATACCGCGGGACTGAAGTAGTTCTTTTAATCCCGAAGGTAAAGTTTATGGCCCGACCGAAGGGAGGGCCATAATTTACCTGAGGGATTAAGACCACTACTTCAGTCGCAAGGTATATACGATATTTTTCGTACTTCCGAAACTGAAACACTTAATATGTATGGAGTTTGAGAACGCGTTCTTTCAAAAAATCACTGCTTAACAAGTTACCATAGGAACGTTGCGTTGGTGCGACAATCCCTATGCTATGGTAACAAAAATAATTTGGAAACTGTCATTGCTAGTGTCATAATTTTCGTGGTGCGTGACAAAGGTGTATTTGATATTGATAAAAAGTAGCCAAAGTAGGTAAAGAATTGATACCACCGAAATCCAAAAAACTATATGATCAGCACTACGATGCGTTTAAGAAGTAGTGCCGCATATAAAATGTGGAACAACCTACTGAAATTGCCTTGTTAGTAATTTCATCCTTCCGGGATTTTCGTCCAAATTTAATCCCGGCGGGACAAAAAGTGACACTTCAGTACTTGTCATAATGGAGTGAAGTTGTTATTTTAGTCCCGGAAGTACGAAAAATTTTTTTCCCGGTCGATCTGAGACAATTTTTTTTCGGGGCTCAAAAAAAGGCGGTGTATAACCTTCCTTTTTTACCAAAAAAACACTTTTTCTTATTAATTTTGGGCGTAGAATCCAAAACAATTCGTACTTTTTCGATTAGACTTCTTCCATTATGAAAGCAGCTTCAAAACAAAACTCACTTTAAGTAAAGTTTCATTAATTTTGACTGCAATTATTATTCACGATACAATACCAGCTTTGTTCAGTAATTACCTTTCAAGCACTAAATCCGTAATAAAAAAAAATGAAATTCAATTTCCCTCGTTATGCAGATATTTACAGGCATTATTGGTTTAACAAAATTATGTAAATTGGAAAAGTTTGTAATCGAACCTTGAGGAGAGCTGAAATCCGAACTTGATTCTAACTTTCGGGGGGTTGGAAATATGTAAATAAGTAATGTTGTGTGTTTAGACAAATTTGCTTCAAACGTAGGTAAGTAAGTAGAATCTGAGATTTTCCTATTAAGTACGTACGAAAAGTTATCTACATGTTGCGGTTTCAGGTAAAATTTTATACATAATAAGTCATGAAAGTGAGTCCACCTGAATTGGAGGCATTAAAGAGATACTCGGACGCTGCGCGTCCTCGTACTTTTCAATAAACCACCGCGCCATGTAAACGACCACTTTCATGACTTATTATGTAAATAACTATTACCCAACATTATGTCAATTCTACAAGCAAAAAATTTATTATTTAAGCATTAATTTTATACCAGACGTCCAAGATAAAAACGAACAGCACGAGGGTTTTGGATACCGTAAAAGTTAGAACTATAAAAGTGGCAATGAGAAAGTGTCTTTTATTTCTTTGTTCTTCTTGAAGTAACATTAAAAAAAATTATAACGAAATCATGATGTTTCGTATAATTTCGAATATCTCGGAAAGCAACCCTAATTTCCTAATTGTCTAAAGCTAAACGGTATTTTATTGACCCGTTAATTCTGAAACTTTTTTGCCATTAAACCGGATTTGTAACTTTTACGGTTTCCGAGCTCCCCATGCTGTTTCATTTTAGAGACTTGGTATTGCCAACACAAATAAATTTTTCCCAGGTCAACTCTTGTGAAAACGGAAAATATTTTATACATTCCATTAGGTCATGGAAAGTAGATAAACTTCTTGACGCGATCCCCCAACTCTCCCATATTTAGGCATCCCTAAGTAAACAAGCAATTTTTCCGCGTTTTTAAAGTCAATTTCATTATACATCTCCGCTTTAAAATTAGTTGAAACGGAGGCTAAAAGCCAAGTAGACACTCGACGGGGTTTGACAGTTTGAAATAAGTTGTCCTCTTTAATACAGACCCGACGAAACGTTTTTATATGGCCATATAGCGATCGATGAGAAAAAGGCAATAAAACATGGAAAGGACGCCGATAACGCCATCTTAAATAAATATACACACGGATCAATTTTCATCTACACCACATTTAGCTTGGCGGAATTAACTTTACAAACGTAATTCTAGT